CGAAAATAGTGCAAACCAACGGGTGACCATGTTGACGGGTGCAGCCGTACGCGCTTCGAGCGATACACCAGCGAATTCGTTTTTTAGTCGCTGCTTCGCTTGTGCATCGTTCATAATCCTGGGATTGCTAACGAAACCTCGTCTCTAGCGAATCCATGGATTTCGCTCAGCCTGACACCGGCCTTAATATCGTACATGTTAGCGGCAAACTTACTCATGGTTGCACAGATTTATCGCCTCGATGGTGCTTGAGAATACATCGTAGAAGCTCTAACTGCAGCTAGTGAACGTCTGTCGGTGGAATTCCGTCTTATGGTTAGAATGAACGCGATACGTGTGTGTAGCGCTGTGTGTCACCTCGCTGAGCATTGCACTCTCCCTCAGTCAACCGTCGTTGGACAAAGTCCAACGAGGCGGTGGGGGGTCGTATATGGGGGGGGGGGAGTGGAAAAAGAGGGGCGGTCGTATTTCGCGAGGTAGCGTCATTGTTACAAGTATGGGAAGGGATGATTCTTTATGGAAGGGAGAGCGTATTAGTTGTTCTCTGTGGATTTTGAGTGCGAAAAGAAGTTCTTTTAAAGCGAGAGATTGCGATAGGATTCTGTTGTGCTCATAGTGGAAGTGAAGATGCTGAATAATGCCCTAGTAGCGAAAAAAGCAAAGAAATCCGTCAAAAACGCGCAAAATGGGACCACTTCCTCTGCCCGTTGACCTCCGATAATGGACGAGTTGGCAACCAACTAAGAGGTCGTCGGCACTCGTTAAACCATAGCTGCCATCATACCACCAGAGATCATACCTTGATTGATATAGCATTCCATGAGAAAAAAATTGGATACGCGCTCGAAGTGGCATACCTTATCAGAATGATAATCGAACAGCGATCTGCTGAGGGGCGGAGCACAGGCGGAGGCGGAGCTCAGAAAGGATTGGCAGCCCCAGGGCGCTGCAACGAGCGCACCTTTAGTCACAAAAAGGCCACATCTCGATTCCTTTGGGCTCTAGCTACTGCTTGAAGTGCTGCTCGTTCTTCCATGCTGCACAGAAATTTTATCGTAATTTCTCGCTTTAATATCTCTCCCCCTCCCCCAGCCGATCGGCGGAATTTTTAGAGGAAAAAGTGGGTGGGCGGGCGTTGGGCTGTGTCGAGTGGTTCTTAGAAGAATCAATACTATAGGAATCGGCGAGGGTGGTGGAGGATGGTCGTGAAAGGGTTAATCCTAAGAGGGGGGGGGGTCGTATCGAGGCCCTCTAGAAGGGGAGAGGGGGTTCGTAAAGTTTTCGAAATTGGTCCCACGTGACGGTGACCCTGCTCTCCCCTTCCTAAAGGCAAACCCCGCGATTAAACTGGTGTTAAGAGCGCTTCGTAGTGATAGCTTAGCTGCGGAACGATCCTGAAAGTGGAGAGGAAAGCAAGAGAATCTTTGAGAACGCTGAAACTAAGGCCTTAACCTTCAATAAGGTCGGATGTGGTACGATGGCGAGACAGGGCGGTCAAAGAAGACAAAATACGCGAGAGAGCACGTCGTTTGAGAGAGCACGCTGATCTCACCATCTCTCGCGGTGGGTGGGAAGCGTTGGAACGGGGTCGATGGTTGCAGGCCCGTAAGGATTAGCGCCCTAACCGCGCAATTTTTGCGACGAAGCTGGAGTGATCTAGGTAGGTACGGACCTTACAATTTCCCTCGCGGTATCCTTCCCACAAGTCGGGCTAATCCCGGGGTTTGCCTTTACTCGTCCGGTTTCTTGAGCACTTGCGTTGCTCGTTGTTACATCATATCTATATTCGAATCGACCGCAAAAAGGTGGAGCCTCATCTGGAATACTTTGTTCTTGCCCTTTCTGACTGAGTTTCAAATACCCACATTCTACCTTTATGGAAAGCACCACGGCCTTCGAACAAAAGCTTTGCGATTTCCATATGAATTCAGGTGCATGGCGCATTCCAAAGGCATTGATGACACACACCAATGCTTCATCATTTGATCTTTGATCTTTATTTAGCGAACATCTCTTGTCGAGATATAATCCACTACTGGAACATGGACAAGTGAATTTCGGACCAATTGACACACACGACATTCATTACATCATTCAGTTGTCCATTCAAGAGCCATTTTCCAACAAAACAACATGAAATGACACAAGAAATGTTGAAAGACAAAAACATAGAATCTATGTCATTTAAAACTATTCGAACGACGTCTGACTTGTTTAGTCTACAATTTGGATTCCTGATGTTCTACACTGCCCACGTCGTCTTTTTCTCGATGTCGTCGTCTGGCCTGAGGTTTCCGTTCATATCCAATAATTACCATATATAAAACACATAGAATACCCGCAGCATAAATAAACATAATCCATAGAGCTATTAAACTGAAATCAGTCGATTAGTATGATATTGACATAGTTTCGGGGCAGTGATTTACGTGCTTTAACGACAGCAAAACGACCCGTGCTCAGGTCATTAATATTCAGAGCGCGCGACAAAACGTACTAGGTGGTCTCTACGAGGTCGCCGCGCGAACTCGCTCGCGCGGAGGCCGCGTGCGGCGAGCGACGTGTACTGATGACGCACACCCGAAAGACCCATTACAACAATGAATTACCGGCTCAATTCAGGTCAAAGGAGCTTGCTAGTGAATCCCCTTCGTTTGAGGGTCTTATTTATATAAGCCGTAAATAAAACATGAAAAGCCATACGGAAGGAGATCAACTGTCAGCGTACCTCGTCATCACGTAGAACAACGTTTTATGATGTTGTGCATAGGCTAAATAAATAAAGGAGAATATCGCTAGAAATCCGATGATACCCAAAATTTCCTTCGTCGATAACGGCGTTGCTCGAAATGGTCGAGTATCATCTGAAATATGTAATCTTATCACAGTTTAAGAATTTCAAAATTTGCAGGGAATGCGCCGCGCGTGGTCCCCCTAACTAGATTAGCACCGGGAATTTAGAGGCGGTGGATATGATAGTTGGTGAGACAATTAATCGTAAGAAAAATTCAAATGACCCAAAATCGGAATAGTTATTTCATTTTTATGATTTTAGGCGCTGGACGCGATTCCAGGACGTCCATCCTCTGCCTCTCTGCTGCAAGTGCTAGAGCGCAGACGAACAGAGACTGCGGCAAGGCGTTCCAGGTATCGGCAGAACCCTCGATTAGGGCATTCAGCACATTTACATACATGTTTCTGTTTTGATAAACCAAACCATGAATTTAATTTAATGTCTAAAAAAATACATGAAAAATTAAAAGAGAGGCAAGATTAATATAGATGATTAAGAATAAAGCTCCTGATCTCGACCAATCTCTTTGGAGATGCGCCACGCATTCTACTTCCAATCAGAATCGTAGTTGCGTTTGATTACGGTATGGCCCATGCAACGAAATTGGGGGACTAACGCCGGCTTGTGGTGCATCTTCGTCAATGAATGTTCCGAGCGAAGGTACAAAGAAATTAGTAGAGAGAATTCAGTGGAAAGAGAATCTATTCAAAAACTCTGACGAGGTGCGGGAAGAATAAAAATATTTCTGGAGCCCCTTCGGAAAACGCAATGACAACACAAAGGTAGGTGACACAAGTGGTAATCTGAAGTTACAAGCTGGACGATAAGGCCGATGTCAGACTTTGCGAATCGCGCGATTCGCTAGCGTCTGCGGTCGCGTCGCGGCCAGTGAATCACTCAATTGGCTGGTACCGCAACGCGACCGCGGACGCTAGCGAATCGCGCGATTCGCAAAGTCTGACATCGGCCATACCAATCGTAGTAGTCGCTGAACATAGTGAAGCGAAACTACTCCGAGTAACCCGCCCAGATTAGAATCAAGGAAGTGTTGAATCCCATTGAGAGCACTGGGTCCACTCACACCCTACGTCGAGCGTTGGGTCAGGGATGTGTGTCGTTAGGTCGTTGGGTATCAGGTCCTCTTACACAGCCAGATGCATGCTATCCTGTTTGATTGATAGTGCCGCGACGGCCGACAGCGGACGCTGCGAACGCTCGATTCACAAGTCTGGGGCGTTCGGCCATAAAGAAGGTTACGCTGAACATGGAAGCGAGGGACTAGTCCGATCACCCGCGATGTACCCGCCTATATACGATAAAGAAAAGGTCGTGAAACTCCGCCCATGTGAGCACTGGGCCCACTCACACTGAGTGGTCGAGCGTTGTCAGGCTGTGTGTCTGTTAGGTTCACTGGCGTATCAGTGCTCTTACACATCAGATGCATGCTATCCTTTTTTTCAAATTAGTTTTAAACTATTCCATGCTTTATGCAAAGAGTTGGTACTAATCCATAATACCGTAATTGATAAAAAATAGTGCAAGATCGGTACTGTAGAGAAAGGATAGTAGAACGACTGAACAAAAAACTCACCTTTGGCGATGTCAGTGTTATCAATTCCGATGGAGG